GGAAGAAGGAAAGAAAGAGGGAAAGAAGGAAAGGAAGGAAGAAGGAAAGAAAGGGAAAGAAGGAAAGGAAGGAAGAAGGAAAGAAAGAGGGAAGGAAGGAAAGGAAGGAAGAAGGAAAGAAAGAGGGAAAGAAGGAAAGGAAGGAAGAGAAGTGACATGGTGGGCAGGTGATCACAGGTGGAAGTTTGCATCAGGAGAAAGGAGGCCACTGTTCCTTCTTGTTACCTTGTTCCCAGAGATTAAAGGCACAGTCTCTGTGCAGTCTGGCCAGGGAGGCAGGCAAGATCACAGCTACAGTCCGATGCAATGGGTACCATGATGTGGGAAGCACAAAGGGCTGGTTGGAGCACAAGCAGTGTCCCCCAACCAGCCAGACTGGAGGGGAAGTGGGTGGGCAGCTGGTAAGGCCTCCTGGGGGATGTGACAACTCAATCAAGCTCTGAAGGAAGGAAAGGAGCCACCTAAATGCGGGAGAGAGAAGGTTCCAGGCAGAGAGAATAGCATCTGCAATGACACTGAGGATGGAGAGAGAATGAGTGAATTTGGGGTTCTCCTGCAATATGTCTGGGGCAGGGAATGCACAGGAGGGACTGGTGCTAGATGAGACAAGAGAGGAGGCCAGAGCCAGATAATGGAAGCCCTGGGGCACATCCACGTTGAAAAGTTTCTCCTGGGTGATTGTGTCCCTAAATAGGGATAGCGAGGGCGCTCTTTGCAACCTCACTTGGCCTTAATTCCTTCCCAGACAATTATTTCCATGAGGTCATCTTCCCAAGGTGGCTAATTCTGGGGCACAGGCACACAAGTGGCACTTTCCATGGTCTCCCTCTTTGTCCCAGGATTTCACTGGCTCCGACTAACTGGTCTGCTGCTGCTGCTGCTGCTGCCTGGGAAGGTGTGCCGGTGCATTAAATGTTCTCCTTTCTTCTCGGTCCCACAGGGTATTCCTGGCACTGTGTGACAACCCAAAGGACCGAGGCACCATTGTGGCTCAAGGTGGTGGCAAGGTAACTGGGCAGGACATGGTCCTTGCCATCCTAGAAGGTGCCTTTGTGCATGCTCTTTGCCCAGCCCAAGAATAATGTACCCTCTGCCCCAACTCAACTTCCTGGAATACCGCCATCACTTATCTGTGCCGTCTGTGCTCATAGCCCCAAGCCAATTTCTGCTTGACTTTATGCTATGATGGTATGTACTTTGGAATCCCATCTATCCTCCTTGCTATTGGAAGGAAGCACCATGCAAATATAGAGACCCTGGACTTTGATGTAGAAGACTTGTAGTTGAGTTCTTGCTCTGCCCCTTTTTGCCTGCATAACCTCAGGCAAAATACTTAATCTCTCAGCCATAGCTTCTTCATCTGTTAACTAGGGGAAAAATCACTTTCACTTTGCAGACTGTCACAAGAATTAGAGAAAATATAGAAAGTATTGGTTCATGGTAGGTGCTCAATAGATGTCTGATGTTAAGATTGGGTTTGGCTGAAACTCCATCTCTATTAAAAATACAAAAATTAACAGGGCGTGGTAGCGTGCGCTTGTAATCTCAGCTACTCAGGAACCTGAGGCAGGAGACTTGCTTGAACCCAGGAGGCAGAGGTTGCAACAAGCTGAGATCATACCATTGCAGTCCAGCCTGGGCAGCAAGAGTGAAACTCTGTGTCAAAAAAATAAAATAAAACAAACAAACAAACAAAAAGATTGGGTTTGGCTTGGGCAGAAAGTAAAAAATTTGTTGATTGAATTATTTAGTTTTCCAAAAGCTGAAGGAACATTTAGGTGGGTGGGAGGAAGTTGGGCAAAGACCTGGATGTGCACTGGGAACCAAGGGGAGTGAATATGTGATTAAGGATTTAATTGTTTTCCATGATGTGCAAGGGCTGATTATATGGCAGAGTCTTCCTGGACCGGGACAGACAGACAGCACCTGGAGCAGGAGAATAGGAGGGAAGCCTCTGGATGTCTGTGACTAAGTAGTGACCTTGCCCTTTCTTACAGGCCCTGATTCCCCTGGCTTTGGAGGGCACAGATGTGGGCAAGGTGAAGGCAGCCCACGCTCTAGCAAAGATCGCTGCTGTCTCCAATCCGGACATTGCTTTCCCTGGGGAGCGGGTAGGTGCTTGGGTAGATGGGATAGGGCAATGGGAGGGGTCTCCTCTGCTCCTAGAGGCCTTTCCCCTCGTCAGTATACCTCCAGCCTGGGAGAGGAGCATGGTACTGTCACAGGAAGGGTGCTGCATTGGAGGCACCTGGATTCCAGGCCTGGTTCTACCCCTGACAAACAGGATTGCCCTTTCCAAAATTCCGTTATACTGTCTATAAAGAAAATAATCCTGCCTGTCAGGATCATTGCGAGGATTAAATCAGACAATGTACGAGAAAGTGTTTTGGAAACTTTGCAGCTGGGCACCTATAAATGTAAGGCACTCAGGGAACAAAGTCCTCACCTGACCAAACCCTTGACCCCTCCCCAACAGGTGTATGAGGTGGTGCGGCCCCTCGTAAGCCTCTTGGACACACAGAGGGATGGGCTTCAGAACTATGAGGCTCTCCTAGGCCTCACCAACCTGTCTGGGCGGAGTGACAAACTCCGGTGAGTGTGGTGAGTGTGGCAGGGGTGGAGAGAGGTGGCTCAAAAAGTGTTTGTTTGAAATTTCACATAATGTGCTGAGAATGCTCTTCTCAGAAGACAACATCAAAGGCAAGGTGTGGGATTTGAGTTAGCACTTAGTAAACCACACAGTGAATATACCAAAGCCAAAAGATGCTGTAAGGCTTTTTTTTTGGTCTGAGTCTCACTCTGTTGCCCAGGCTGGAGTGCAGTGGCGCCATCTCAGCTCACCGCACCCTCCACCTCCAGGGCTCAAACTATTTTCCTGCCTCAGCCTCTCAGGTAGCTAGGACTACAGGAGTGTGCCACCATACCCAGCTAATTTTTGTATTTTTAGTAGAGAGAGGGTTTCCCCATGTTGGCCAAACTGGTCTCAAACTCGTGACCTCAGGTGATCTGCCCGCCTTGGTCTCCCAAAGTGTGGGATTACAGGTGTGAGCCACTGCACCCAACCAGCACTTCTTTCTAAAGTAGTAATGATCACCCTTCTAACTGGCGTGAGATGGTATCTCATTGTGGTTTTGATTTGCATTTCTCTGATAACCAGTGAAGATGAGCATTTTTTCACGTGTCTGTTGGCTGCATAAATGTCTTCTTTTGAGAAGTGTCTGTTCATATCCTTTGCCCACTTTTTGATGGGGTTGTTTTTATCTTGTAAATTTGTTTAAGTTCTTTGTAGATTCTGGATATTAGCCGTTTGTCAGATGGGTAGATTGCAAAATTTTTCTCCCATTCTGTAGGTTGCCTGTTCACTCTGTGATAGTTTCTTTTGCTGTGCAGAAGCTCTTTGGTTTAATTAGATCTCATTTGTCTATTTTGGCTTTTGTTGCCATTGCTTTTGGTGTTTTAGTCATGAAGTCTTTGCCCATGCCTATTTCCTGAATGGTATTGCCTAGGTTTTCTTCTAGGGTTTTTATGGTTTTAGGTCTTACATTTAAGTCTTTAATCCATCTTGAGTTAATTTTTGTATAAGGTGTAAGGAAGGGATCCAGTTTCAGCTTTCTACATATGGCTAGCCAGTTTTGCCAGCACTATTTATTAAATAGGGAATCCTTTCCTCATTTCTTGTTTTTGTCAGGTTTGTCAAATGTTATAGTTGTGTGGTGTTGTTTCTGAGGCCTCTATTCTGTTTCATTGGTCTATGTGTCTGTTTCAGTACCAGTATCATGCTGTTTTGGTTACTGTAGACTTGTAGTATACTTTGAAGTCTGATAGAGTGATGTCTCCAGCTTTGTTCTTTTTGCTTAGGATTGTCTTGGCTATGCCTGCTCTTTTTTGGTTCCATATGAACTTTAGAGTAGTTTTTTCCAATTCTCTTAAGAATTGGGGATGGCACTGAGTCTATAAATTATCTTGGGCAGTATGGCCATTTTCACAATATTGATTCTTCCTAGCCATGAGCATGGAATGTTCTTCCATTTGTTTGTGTCCTCTTTTATTTTGTTGAGCAGTGGTTTGTAGTTCTCCTTGAAGAGGTCCTTCACATCCCTTGTAAGTTGGATTCCTAGGTATTTTATTCTCTTTGTAGCAATTGTGAATGGGAGTTCACTAATGATTTGGCTCTCAAGGATCCAGAACTAGAAATACCATTTGACCCAGCAATCCCATTACCGGATATATACCCGAAGGATTATAAATCATGCTACTATAAAGACACATGCATGGCTTGGAGTGGTGGCTCACACCTGTAATCCCAGCACTTTGGGAGGCCAAGGCAGGTGGATCACGAAGTCAGGAGATCGAGACAACCCTGGCTAACATGGTGAAACCCTGTCTCTACTAAAAATACAAAAAAATTAGCCGGGCGTGGTAGTGGGCGCCTGCAGTCCCAGCTACTCGGGAGGCTGAGGCAGGAGAATGGTGTGAACCCAGGAGGCAGAGCTTGCAGTGAGCCGAGATTGCACCACTGCACTCCAGCCTGGGCAACAGAGCGAGACTCCGTCTCAAAACAAAACAAAACAAAACAAAAGACACATGCACACGTATGTTTATTGCAGCACCATTCACAATAGCAAAGACTTGGAACCAACCCAAATGTCCATCAGTGATAGACTGGATTAAGAAAATGTGGCACATATACACTGTGGAATACTATGCAGCCATAAAAAAGGATGAGTTCATGTCCTTTGCAGGGACATAGATGAAGCTGGAAACCATCATTCTGAGCAAACTGTCATAAGGACAGAAAACCAAACACTGCACGTTCTCACTGATAGGTGGGAGTTGAACAATCAGAACACATGGACATAGGGAAGGGAACATCACACATTGGGGCCTGTTGTGGGGTGGGGAGCTGGGGGAGGGATAGCATTAGGAGAAATACCCTAATGTAAATGATAAGTTGATGGGTGCAGCAAGCCAACATGGCACATGTATACCTATGTAACAAACCTGCACGTTGTGCACACGTACCCTAGAATTTAAAGTATTTAAAAAAAAAAAAGATATCCAGGTGGATAGTGGGATAAAATGTATTCCTCTGTGGAAGCAGGAGTATGTCAGCATGTACTGGGTTGTGATTCTTTTGGTTGCCAGTAGCAGAAAACTCAACTATAACAGGCCTAAGCATAAAGGAAATTTATTGGCTCATGTAGAGAAGAAGTCTGGGGTAGCAAGATTCAGGTGTGGCTTGATGCAGGGCTTACAAAGCTGACTTAGATTCCTGTTCTCTCTGTCTCTCCTCTCCTTTCTGTATTGTTTTAATTCTCAATGGGCTTTTCTGCTCTCTCATGGTTGTGAGGGGAGCTCTGGCCTTTACATCTTCTTGGATCTATATCCAGGATGAGAGAGAGAGAGAGAGAATTTCTTTACTGCAATAATATAGAGGCTCTCCAGTTGGGTGACATCCAGAACGCACTGCTGTGGCCAAGACGCCATGCTATATCATTTAGTTTAGGCCCATGGTGCCCCTCCTAGAGCTGGGGGCTGTTTGATGCCACATAAACCATGCTGGCTGAGGGTGTGGGAAGGATAGCACCAGAATGGAAGAATGGTCCCTAAATGGCCAGAAAACCCCCATGGTCACTGCAGAAGACTCAAGGGTCTGTCTTCCTCCACCCTCCTACCCTAGGCAGAAGATCTTTAAGGAGAGGGCCTTGCCGGACATCGAGAACTACATGTTTGAGAATCATGATCAGCTGCGGCAGGCGGCCACCGAGTGCATGTGCAACATGGTGCTCCACAAGGAGGTGAGGCAGGGGCTCAGGATGGAGACCCGGGCATGATCAAGGCACAGAGAGACAGGCCAGGGTCAGACCCTGGGGTGAGATCGGGGGCTGTTATGATGGCATTAAGGTAACACTTTGGGCAGAAAATCCAGGAATCCCTAAATCTTTCCTAGATTACAGTCCGCCTCCCTGTAGGGGCCCTGAGAGACAGATATATATAAAAGAAAAAATACAAAGCTAGGGCTTTGAATCCAAACCCTGGGCTAGATGAGGTGGAAGACACCATTTCCCTAAGTTACTTAGGCCTAAATAAACTTAAAACAAAGCAGGATATGAGACCAGGGCCTCTGAGAGGTCAAGGAAGGCTAGACCGCTTGCATTTATTGAAACTCCACATACATAAAAAAATGAAGAAATGCCAAATACAGTTATCAACCATTTCGGGATGTCTTAAATGTCAGCATTTAATGAACTACCACTGTTCCCATAGAAATTGCAATGCAATATAACTGTACTCATCACAGAATAATTATAGGGTTTATAAAAATAAAATGAATTCAGAACATGCTATAGGCCTCATGGTCCAGTTATGGGACAAATGATACCCATCTGGTGAATGTCTTCTTCTTCCCATCCTGTCAGAGTACTGCTGTGCCTGTAGATATAATCTTATCAGATATAACAGCAGGGTCTAAATTTGAGGCCCTTCATTAACATGAGGGCCAAGCTGAATGGCCCTCCTGGGCCCACATGTAGGGACTAGCGAGAGACCCAGTCTGTTTACCCCCAACGCCTGAACCTTAGATCTTCTCACTGTTTTAGGGGGAAAACCTAACCCATTAAAGCCTATTAAAGGCCGAGTGCAGTGGCTCATGCCTGTAATCCCAACACTTTGGGAGGCCGAGGTGGGTGGGTCACTTGAAGTCAGGAATTCGAGACCAGCCTGGCCAATATGGTGAAACTCTGTCTTTATTAAAAGTACAAACGTTAGCCAGGCATGGTGGTGGGTGCTTGTAGTCCCAGGTACTCTGGAGGCTGAGACATGAGAATTGCTTGAACTTGGGAGGCAGAGGTTACAGTGAGCCGAGATCATGCCACTGCACTCCAGCCTGGGTGACAAAGCAAGGCTTCATCTCAAAAAAAAAAAAAAAAAAAAAAAGCATATTAAAGTCAGGGGGAATGAAGCTACCAGGGTCTACCAGGGAGCTGGCCTAAGGCTAGGCTGGGGGCCTGGAAACCATGGGGGAGACAGAGAGTGTGTCCAGGGAGATGGGGTTGGGAGGCTGAGAGGTTGAGGGAGGTAATGGGAGGAGGGAGGCAACCTTTCCTATGGGAGCACCGGCTGCTACAACAACTCAAGTCAAAATGTTCAGTGGTCCCAATAGGATAGAAGTTCATTTCTTGCTCACCATGTCAAAGTCATATTTGGATTTGGATTTGATGGCTCACTTTTTTTTTTTTTTCTGAGATGGAGTCTGGCTCTGTCACCCAGGCTGGAGTGTAGTGGTGTGGTCTCGAATTACAGCAACCTCCGCCTCCTGGGCTCAAGCAATTGTCCTGCCTCAGCCTCCCGAGTAACTGGGACTACAGCGCGTGTCACCACCCCTGGCTAATTTTTTGTATTTTTAGTAGATACAGGGTTTCACCGTGTTAGCCAGGATGGTCTTGATCTCCTGACCTCATGATCTGCCCGCCTTGGCCTCCCAAAGTGCTGGGATTACAGGCGTGAGCCACTGCGCCCAGCCGGGTGGCTCACTTTCAAGCTGACTCAGGGATCCAGGCTTCTTTGATCATCAATAACTGCCTTCTCCTCTGCCACACTGGGAGTGGATTCCACTCTGATGGTGAATGGGGAGACAGACCGAGGGAGAGGTGCCTAAAAGTGACACACATCACTTCCGCTCATGTTCCATCTATGAGAACTAGGCCACCACCACATCGAGATGTGAGAAATGGGGGAATGTAGTCCATGTAAGGGCAGCTGCTTCCCAGAAACAACTGTATCCCATGAGAAGGGGCCATGCTGACCCGTCTGATATATGGTGACCTCTGCCATGCTCTCACCTCCGATGACCACTACTCCAGTTTCAGGGAGATGAAGATAGAGGGTCACACCTGGGAAGCTGTGATCTTGGTCCCCTTTTGGAGTTCCACTTCTAAGAAACCTGGCCCAGTAGAATGCTCTGAGACTTGACCACCTAGATTTTACAGTAGTGCAGAGGGTTGAGGATGAGATGCTGTGAGGGGTTAATGTCAGGGTACTTGTCCCCTGGAAGCTCTTCTCCTGGTTTTCAGATCCTTGGGAAGCCTCATCTCTCACCTGGTGGAGACGGCACTGTAGCTTTCTAATACCGAGCAAACCACCTAATTGTTCCCTGCTTCTGCCCCAGTCCCTGCAAAATCATTTTATGGAAGACCCTGAAGTCCCATCCATTGTGGGAGAAACCTTCCAAGCTTCCCCAAAGCGATGGGAAATACAGTTCCTCAGGCATCATCTACCCTGCAGGAGTCTGCGCCTGCCTCCTTCCCCTGCTGTGGAGGCTGAATGCAAACAGAGGTGGTGAAGCACACTAGATGGGGAATTCTTTGTTTTCTTTATTTGGAAGAATTTGTAGCCCCTTCATTCAACCAGTCGGGGAAGGCTTCTTGGGGGAGGTAGCATGAGTGAGCTGCTCAGAGGGAAACGCTAAGGGATCTTGGGTTGGAGAACTTCAGATGTATCTTACCCTCTTCAGGCTGGGCAGATTGGGGACAGTTTTCTCTGAGCCATGTTCCTGCCTCCCACAGGTACAGGAAAGGTTCTTGGCTGATGGGAACGACCGGCTGAAGCTGGTGGTGCTGCTCTGCGGGGAGGATGATGATAAGGTGCAGAATGCGGCTGCAGGGGCTCTGGCCATGCTGACAGCAGCACACAAGAAACTGTGCCTCAAGATGACTCAAGTGGTAAGAGCTGGCCCTGGGGATAGGAAGGGTTGGATGGGCTCCAGGGAATCTCCCCACTCACAGACCACACTGGATGATCCTTTGGGGAGACCAGCTCCTAAAGAAACCTCTCACAGCCGCCAGGCATCTGTTCTTACTGCCTAAGGAAAGGAGTGTCTATTCCCTTCAGTGCCTTACATTCATTATTTGGTCTTCCCAAGTGTGCTAGCTCAACCCCTCCCACTGGAGTTTCACCCATTGCCTTTAGAGGTGCATATACCTCATTGCTTAAGAACAACAGCAATGCTAATCACTGCCGTGGAGCTCCAGAGCTTCCCAAGAGAAGCACGGTTGTGGTTGGGATGCCATAAGGAACTTACGGTTTGGCAAAAAAGCTGCAGATTCTCTTAAGTGGACACAATGACCAACTCCTATGAGACTGTTTCCATTGCAGCAGGTGTAATGGAAATGATCTCTGTATAGTCACAAACATGGGAGTGCACAATGAAACTTTCCTTATTTTACCAAACTGAAGAGTTTGTGGGCACTCATCTCTCCCCATGGTGAAAAATGTGGACATCTCAATTCAAAGGTGTTCATGTCTGGTTTAAAGGCAGGCTCTTTTAGATAGTCAGTGTAAGGTGTGTATGTATCAGCGGGTGTGTTCTCTAAGTTCCAAGGGGGGTTATGTTGTCCTGGCATCTGACAAGGGTGTATCTGTTGAATGTAGTTCATCCTGCATGGTCTTTGGACTTCAACCTCTTTCCCTAAGGCAAGCTTCTCAAAACTGTAATGTGTTTAAGAATCACCTAGGCAACTTGTTAAAACAGTTTCCCCACATGTTTTGATTTAGTAGATTGGGGGTGGGATGCTAACAGCTTGGGGACCACACTTTGAAACCACTGCCCTAAAGCAGCCTCTTCTGGTGTTATGGGCACATAACTCTTGTAAGTCCTCACAGGACCCTCTGTGACTCCTTGCACTTACTGAGTTCCAGGTGTTGCCCTAAGTGTTTACATTTATTAAGTCATTTAATCATCCAAACCACCCTGTGAGGTGGATATTATTATTATCATCATCCCTATTTAACAAATGAGGAAACTGAAGTGCAGAAAAGCAACTAGACCAAGGCCACACAGCCTGTTAGTTGGGAAGGGATTGGAACCCTTCAGGATTGCCAACCCACTCCTGTCCACTTCTTCGTTTTTCCTTGCGGGGCTCAGAAATCTTGGCTGCATTTTTGTTCTGACATGGGGCTTCCTGGGGACTCTGTGAAGCTGCTCAGACTCATCTTTTGTGCCACCCCATGGCCATGTTGGATGCTGGACATCTCTAGTCTCATGTCATCTGGGCTATGCCCTGGGCTATACTTCCTGCCCTGGAATCCCATCCTTGTTGAGTTTCTATCACTGCTTCCTTTGACCCTCGGTGACTCATCCCAGGGACCGATGGGTCTGGGACCCATTATCAGTTACACTTCAGCCTAGAAACTTTCCAGCCTAGAACCGTGCCACAGCTAGCTGAGTTTTCATGTTCTTTCATTGGGATAGGACATTCAGTGCAGAGTTTACAAAAGTTGGGTTAGATGCTCAAAAGCCAAGAATTTGCTTTTTCTTCCCCCTGCATCTGTCTCCCCATGTGCTTGTGGAAAGCGAGCCCTGCTGACAAATGCCAGGTGAGGGTAACAGGTACAAAGCAGCCCAAGGGAAAACCTTTGCATTGATGTTTTTTTTTTTAATTCATTTTTATTTTTATTTATTTATTGTTTGAGACAGAGTCTTGCTCTTTTGCCCAGGTTGGAGTGCAGTGGTACAATCTTGGCTCACTGCAACTTCCACCTTCTGGGTTCAAGCGATTCTCCTGCCTCAGCCTTCCTAGTAGCTGGGATTACAGGCGTGTGCCACCACGCCTGGCTAATTTTTGTATTTTTAGTAGAGAGGGGGTTTCCCCATGTTGGCCAGGCTGGTCTTGAACTCCTGACCTCATGCTCCACCTGCCTCAGCCTCCCAAAGTGCTGGGATTACAGGCATGAGCCACCGCACTCAGCCTGGGTTGATGTCTTAAATCATCACCTACTTGCCCTGCATCCACTTCTATTTGTTGAGCACATACTAAGCTCCAGCCCCCATGCTAAGCTCTTTCCATGTATTATCTCATTAAAGCACCACAATGTTAGAGGTAGGTGTAGAAGATGACCCTGAAGCTTACAGAGGTTAAATAACTTAGTTGAGGCCATGTAGTTGGTAAGTGGCTGAGCTGGGACCTGAACACTGGCCTCTCTGACTCCAAACCCCCATGCTGATGACCATTCTACTCTGCTGCCCCAAGTATATCTGTTGAATGATACAGGAGTAAAGCCTCCTGGTTCTATTCTCAGCATTATCTCTGTCTCCTAGGATGATTGGAGGGGTCTAGAGTCCTACCTTCCCAAGAATAGTAGTTGGATTGCTTCATAGCTGGGAATGGAGGAAGAATGGGAGTGAGGATACGTTTAAGACTCTTGTGTTGATTCCAGTTAAAAACAGGGCTAGGGGAGAGCATGTCTGCATGTCTGGAGCTGATGTCTCAAAGGGCACCTGGCTTGGCAGAAGCAGGCATTGCCAATGTGCCCAGGGTGAGAATCTTCCTTTTGAAAACTCTGCATCCCTGTTCTTCTCAGGTTTGCAGTGGGTCTGGCCCTTTGCTTCTTAAGCTGCTTAAGAAATAAATGGATTTGGGAATATGAATCCTCTACTATTTCCAGATGTGTGACCATAGCTAAGTTATGCTGATTCCTTTAATTCTTTTGCTTTAGTTCATTTTCTGTTGCTATAACAGAATACCTGAGACTAGGTAAAAGAAAAGAGGTTTATTTTGGCTCACAGCTCAGAAGGCTGGGAAGTCTAAGATCAGACAGCATCATCTGATTTGCTTTTGGTGAAGGTCTTATGCTGTGTCATAGTATGATTTAGAAGCAGAAGGGGAAATGTGTGTGTGTGAAAAGGATAAAACACAAGAGGTGGCAACTGGGGCCATGACTGGCTATCATGGTTACTAATCTAGTCCCTTGAGAGCGAGAACTCACTGCTGCAAGAATTGACACATTCCTGTGACAGCAGCATTAATTCCTCTTAATGACCTAATCACCTCTTAAAGGCCCCACCTCCCAACATTGCCACACCAGGGACCCACATTTCCAACACATGAACTCTGCGGACACACTCAAACTTAGCACCCTCCTTACCTTTTTTCCTGCTTCCAGACAACCCAGTGGTTGGAGATCCTCCAGCGGCTTTGCCTGCACGACCAGCTGTCTGTCCAACACCGGGGCCTGGTCATCGCCTACAACCTACTGGCAGCCGATGCTGAGCTGGCCAAAAAGCTGGTGGAGAGTGAGCTGCTGGAGATCCTGACTGTGGTGGGCAAACAGGAGCCAGATGAGAAGAAGGCAGAAGTGGTTCAGACAGCCCGAGAATGTCTCATCAAGTGCATGGATTATGGCTTCATTAAACCAGTGTCTTAGACAGGGACCCTCAGGGATGCTGGGAGTGGTCCTGTACTGTGCAGAGTCCTGGGTTGGGTTCTCCTGGAGTGTCAGGTCATCTAGGGATCATAGCAGTGACAAGGAAGTCTCAATATAAAGGAAAGACTTGACCGTTCCCTGAGTTGTGAATCTTCTCCTTTGTCCTGACAGAGTTTGGATGTTTCATTCTCTCTCTTGCTTCCTATCTCCTTACATCTGTCAAGTTTCAGAAATTCCAAGAATAATTTTCATCCATGATTAGAACATAGGTTGAATCATTCTTTTTGTACCCATTTTGAAGGCCAGGATAATAGGTTGAAGTTCTTTATATTTTGGAAAATGGATTTTGTGGTAAGGTAGGAACTAACGAGTGTGTGCATATAAAGGTTAATGCTGTTGTATTTGGATGCTGATCTGTGCTGTTTTCATGACCTCTCTGCCACACTATTTGAATCAGTCTGTTCGGAACAGTGTGTTTCACCTTCAGTGCTCTGTCCCAGCCCTATGCCCATTCCCATCACTTCACTGTGATGGAAATAGAGTTTATGTTCAACAGTGAGACATGACCTCTGCAATTTGCTTGGGAAAGTCTTCCAAGCAAGACGGACATGATGAATACAAATAAGATCATCTTCAAACAAAAAATAAATAATTCATTGGCTCATGTATCTTGGCCATCCAGGGAAGGTCTGACATTGTTAGATCCAGAGTTTCAAATGTCATCACCATGGATGTGTCTTTTTCTCTCTCTCATTTTCTCTCCCCATATCTTGTCTTTTATTTATTATAGGTTGATCTCATTCCCTGGCGGGCTCTCTCCCTGTGATAGGAAAGAGTCCCCAGCAGCCCCAGGCTTACATAGCTATTATAGTTCATTATGGAAGAGAAGAGAGAAGAGCATTCTCAATAACTCAGCAAAGTCCCCAGGAATGACTCTGATATGTCTATGTCTCAGGTCACATTTCCATCTATGAACCAATCATATTCAGAGGTGGAATGCTAATTGGCCAGGTCTGGGTCATATATACAAGTCTAGGTTAAGAAGGAGCTTCATCCCTGTCCAATTGACATGGACTGATTAGGGGTATTAATGGAAGAGGTGTGCCACCACAAAAGAATGTACCCTGGGCAGATCGAAGAACATGTTCTGTATGTCAGGCTTGGCCACAAAAGAATGACACAAGTACTATGCCGTAGATCAGAACCTCTCTTTTAATACTGCCTTTTTAGCATGGTTGAGATAGCTAAGATCTAGTACTGTCACTCAGGTATGTCCCAATTCTACCTACATTTATTGAAGGGTCAACAGTTCTGATCTCAGCATTGGGTAAAGGGTGGGACATTTAGATTTATGGTCCTTGGTGAAAACAATTTACAACGTTCTGTTGTGTAGTAAGTGTAAGTGTACATATGCCTGGAAAAGAGACAAACTATCAGAAAGTTGCACTGTTGCGGTATGGGCCAAATCCAACATAATACCCGCTATACCTCTACAGAACTAAAACCTTAGTTTCTCAGATCTTTACATACAGCCTACATTTTACTAACTCTTGCATGGGCTTGTTTCACAGCAGGAAACTATACTCATCATATCCTTATGATAGAGAATGACAACATTCAAAAAGGTGTGGCCCTTCTGAAGATATATACAACATTCATCATCAATAAATGGCATGATTTGACCCCTGTCAAATTCTTTCCTTCTTTCTTCATATGTGGGCTTGAGTGGGTGTATTTAGCTCCTTTAAACAAAACTCTTTCAGAGATAGGGCCATACTCTTACGCATTTTGACTCTCATGAGGTTACATGTGCCAGTGGCATTCAGGGCTAGTTAGATAAAGCTCATCTTGTTTGGATTGCAGGGATTTTTTTTTTTTTTTTTTAACAGGGTCTTGCTCTGTAACCTAGGCTCAAGGGCAGTGGTGCAGTCATGGCTCACTGCAACCTTGGTCTCCACGGCTCAAGTGATCTTTCTACCTCAGTCTCCAGAATAACTGGGACTACAGGCACACACCACCACCCCCAGCTAATTAAAAACTTTTTTTTTTTTTTTAGAGACAGGGTCTCACTATGTTGCCCAGTCTGGGCAACCACATTCTTTAACATGAATATTTTATAAATAGTCCAACAAGATCCAGAGGAAAGCTGAATTCCATCATCTGATTTTTGCCACTGGTCTACTATCTGGCTAAGTCTTCATGGGAGGCCTTTAAGAAAAGCTGTGACAAATACCTTTGTTTCCCACTGCCTAGATTACATAAGTGGTTGGCTTTTCCAGCCTAGACTCTTAGTCACCATTGCTTGTAAGAGGACCCTTCTTTGCAGATTCCTATTTATTTTCATCTATGCTTTCAAACAGACCGATGCTAGCCTGTGATCAAACAGACCGATGCTAGCCTAAGATTATCTCTTTATTGAGGTAGCTTGCTCAAAACCAGCAAGGAACAGCCAATACCTGCCAACTTTCTAGGTTTTTCCAACCAATTCTCTTACAGAAAACCTATGAATACCTTAGAGGTATGTTTCTTAGTGTCCCAACATATAATGGAAAATTTCATCATTTTTATCATTACTTTTAACTGAAGTATGTTGCTATCAGATAACTTGGTCTGTATCATATTAATCCTTTGCCATTTGATAAGCATATATATATATATATATATTTTTTTTTTTTTTTTTGAGACAGAGTCTCACTCTGCCGCCCAAGTTGGAGTGCAGTGGCCGGATCTCAGCTCACTGCAAGCTCCGCCTCCCGGGTTCACGCCATTCTCCTGCCTCAGCCTCCTAAGCAGCTGGGACTACAGGCGCCCACCACCTCGCCCGGCTAGGTTTTTTTTTTTTTGTATTTTTTAGTAGAGACGGGGTTTCACCATGTTAGCCAGGATGGTCTCGATCTCCTGACCTCGTGATCCGCCCGCCTCGGCCTCCCAAAGTGCTGGGATTACAGGCTTGAGCCACCGTGCCCAGCCATAAACCTTGTTTCTTTATAAATTACTTGGGCTCAGGTATTTTGTTAAGCAACACAAACAGACTAAAACAGTAGAAATCCTTGTCTTATTCCAGATCTTACAGGAAAGGCTTTGAGTGTAATGTTAGCTGTGGGCTTCTCATAAATGACCTTTACTGTGCCGAGTTACGTTTCTTTTTTAAAAATTTGCACTCAGGGTTATCCTCAAAGAGATATATGCCTCTACATCTAATTTGGTGAAATTTTTTTGTCATCTTTCTCTCTCTCTCTTTCTCTCTCTCTGTTGCTCTGACTCTCTGCCTAGGAAATGGAAGATAAGAGAGAGTTTTTATCATAGAAGGATATTAAATTTTATCAAATGATTTTTGGCATCTAATAGATGATTATATGGTTTTTGTCTTTCATTCTGTTAATGTTGCATGTCACATTTATTGATCCTTGCATTCCAGTGATAAAAACATTTCTCAAAAGAAGACATGCAAATAGCCAACAGATAATGAAAAAATGCTCAGCATCACTAGAGAAATGCAAAGTAAAACCACAATGAGATATAATCTCTCACTTGTCAGAATATTTATTATTATATTTTTAGTCATCCTGTACTTTATTTCAAAACAGAGTGTTTTCAAATGAAAAAACAAAAGATAAGTGTTGGTGAGGATGTAGAGCAAAGGAAACACTTGTACACTGTTGGTGGAAACGTAAATTGGTGCAGCCAGCATGGAAAACAGTATGGAGATCCCCCCGCCCAAAAAGAAAAAAAAACTAAAAATAGAATTATTATGTGATTTAGAAATCTCTCTGCAGGGTATTAATGCAAATGACTCGAAATCAGTTTGTCGAAGGGATATCTGCACTCCTATGTTCATTGCAACACTATGCACAATAGCCAAGTAACGGACTTAACCTCAGTCCATCAACAGATGAATGGATTTTTAAAAATGTAGTGCATATATACAATGGAATACTATTCAGCCTTTAAAAAGAAGGAAATTCTGGGCTGGGTACAATGACTCACACCTGTAATTCTAACACTTTTGGTGGGCAGATCACTCGAGGTCAGGAGTTTGAGACCAGGCTGACCAACACGGTGAAACCCCGTCTCTACTAAAAATACAAAAATTAGCTGGGTGTGGTGGCATATGCCTGTAATCCCAGCTACTCGGGAGGCTGAGGCCGGGGAATGGCTTGAATCTGGGAGGCAGAGGTTTCGGTTAGCTGAGACTGCGCCACTACACTCCAGCCTGGGTGACGGAGTGAGTGAGACTCCATCTCAAAAGAGAGAGAGAGAGAGAGCGCAAGTGAGAGAGACAGAGAGTGAAGGAAATTCTGAAATTTGTGACAACATTGATGGAATTGGAGAACATTATGCTAAGTGAAATAAGTCAGGCCCAGAAAGATAAATACCACATGTTCTCAGTTATATGTGGAATTTAAAACAATGAACTTACAGAAGTGGAGAGTATAATGGTGGTGACAGAAGCTGGAAGATGGGGAAATGGGGAGGTGATGGTCATAGGATATTTCAAGTAGGGACAATATGATTTTTCTTTTTGTGCATTCTATTGCACAGCATGGTGAATATAGTTAATAGTAGAGTGTTGTACATTTCAAAATTGCTAAGTAAATTTCAAATGTTCTTGCCATAGAAAAAATGTTAAGTATTTGAGGTGATGGAAATGTTAACTAGCTTGATTTAATTATTTCACACTGCATTCATAAATCATTAACATCATTTTATACCCCATAAATTTTTTTCCCCACGCAACTCCCTCTTCACGGAACCCATCAATCTATACAATTAAAAATTATCAATTTACAATACAAAAAGAAGAAAAAAAGAGAAGCATAAAATTGAAAACTTAGAAATAAAACTTTTAAATTATTCACACGACAGGATTGTACATGTAAAAAATCTGATAGCTACAAACTGTTAGAACCAATAAGTGAATTTAGATACAAAGTCCATTTTCAAAAATCAATTGTATTTCTACATACCTATAACAGGAAATTAAGTTTTTAAAGATGGTGCCATTGTAATATCATAAAACATCAATGCCTTGAAATAAATTATGAAAGATGTTTAAGAATTCTAACTATAAAATATTATTTACAAAAATAAAAGAAAACTCATATAGAGAGATATTACTATATTC